AGATCCTTAGAATGAATGAGCTGTCTTTCAAAAAGGTGACTGGATTTTCTTCTGCTCATGTGTCACTTTGAGAACCTGAGAGAACTGAGCTGTCAGTTATATTTATTTGAAAACTGTAGTAAGATGTTTGAATATTTTATACTGTAGATGTATATGTATTTACATATCTAAAGCTATCAAGGGGTTACCAGTATTTTGTTGATATTCATGGGAATTTACAGATGTTTCTGGAGTTAAAGGCAGGCTCCTCTGGTTCCCATTTCAGAAACTTCTTGAAGACTAAAATAACGAATTCTAATTAATAGTGAAGTGCAGCATTTTTATTATGTCTGCTTCTTTCCTCATACTAGCATTTTTATACAAAATGCCATAGCCAGTTTATAATTAGTGATTTTTTTTAAAAATTTTTTTTTGGGACTACATTCAGAAGGAAACCAATGAATCTCAAGTGTTGCTGTATAATTAATTTTTTTAAAATTAATTCATTTTATTTGTTAATTTAACCTGTCAGATTTGAGGGTTTTCTTTTAATTATATTTCTAGGTGACATATCTGCAGGTGATAAATCTAAGAAAGGAGTGAAGCGAAGGAGAATTACAGAAGATAGTGGTGAAACAGCCAAAAGGAGATCTGCTAGAGTTCGGAACACCAAGTGTAAAAAAGAGGAGAAGGTTGACTTTCAAGAGCTGTTGGTGAAGTTCCTTCCTTCCAGGTACTGTACAGCAACACCCTTCATTGTGAGAATGTAATAGAGAGGAAGCTGTTTGGGATTTTGTTTGATTGATATGCCCCAACCTTAAAACCACCAGACCTGTGTTATTTTTTGAAGCAGATGTGATGCATTGCCTCCTGATATATTTAATAAAATTGCTCTTAGTGAAAATTACTGAATAAAAATTGAAAAATAAGAAAGATTTTGTTAGTGTGAATGTGAATTAGAGGACAATGAAGATGTCAAAATGGATAAGGTAAAGTAATCTTGATTTGGACAAAATTTGGGAACTTGATGTAAATCTCTGAATTTGCTTCAGTTAATGTGCTTTCACTGTTAAAATTTGCACAACTTTCCATGTTTAGGTTTCACTTAGTAAGGAAAGAACAAACGAGGGTTTTGTTGATGTTATGGTTTTTGTCCCCTTTCACACAGATTAAGGAAATTAGATCCTGAGGAGGAAGAGGACCCTTTCAATAACTATGAGGTGCAATCAGAGATCAAAGAGGAGAATTTCCAGCATGTTGGACCACACAGAATGTCATTTGATTCTACAACATTTATGGAATCTGGTAAGGATTTCTACTGGAACCCCTCACTCTTTCTCTGGTGTTTCTTCCATATTGTATGCTTTATTTTTTGTATTTTCCTATCATATCTAGAAGATACAGAAGTATATGCTATTTTTAAAAGATAATTTTATGGTATAGAAATATCTCAGTTGGTAACAGGTGTGATTTTTTTAAGTCTGGGGGATTCCTTAATCACTGTGTGCAAGAGCTCTGTTGTGTGGAGTTTCCCATTTAAACAAATTGGAATACAATAACTGAATTCTGCACATGTGCAGCACAGGAGAACTGCTGCAAGATTAGTGCATAAAACACTGCTGAAAATTACTTGTTTCATGATCTGCCTCAACCTTAAACACGTATGGCTTTGTATTTATCTACTTTCTAGAAAAACAGGATGTTCATGAATTCTTGCTGGATAACCTGAACAATGGTGGGATCTTGGAGCTGATGATGAGATATCTAAAAGTCATCAGCCAAAAGTTTCTGGTGAAGTGGCCTCCTGGCTTGTGTGAGGTGGTCCTTAGCATCTATAACAGCTGGAGGAAGCACAGTAGCAGCCTCCCCAATCCACTACTGAGGGACTCGAGTAACCAGCATATCAAGGTAAAGCAACACTTTTCCTTATTCCCATATTTGCTGCTGTGGTGTTCTCTGTGTGCCAGAAGTACCCAGCTGAAATCCAGCAATCAGACACAGGTTTGGCTTAGCTCTGTCTGGGGAGCTGCTTGTCCCAGCTGTTGTATCTGTCATAAACTGGTGGCCTGCAGCTCATGGAGCTGTTCCTGAGCTCCTGGACAGATCTGGGTGATGCTACATGCAAGTGTACCCTATATATCGTGTATTTGTGTGTGCATAAACACACACACATGCACAGAGATGTAGTAAATGCTACAGACATAGATATGTTTTACCACTTTACTCTGTTGTTGCTCTTTCTTTTTTTTTTCCCCTTCCCTTTGCTTCTGATATGACACAAAGTTTTGTTTTGTCATCAGGTGAGTAAAGAGGCTGCTCTGCTCTCACTGGTTGATTAAGGGTCAGCATTGATGCTTTAGAGTAAATACAGGGTAGTTTTAAGATAACCTGCAATTTACAGTAAAAAAACCCAACCAAACCAAACAAACCCACCCTCCCAGCAGCACCATTTTATTTGTAGATTTCCCAAATGCAAATAGAAAAATGATAAATTCATTAAATTAACGTTAAACCAGTTTAGTGGCAGAAGATGATACTTCTTAAATTATAAAACCAGTTCTGATACTTGTCCACTGAACCTGCCCACGTTATCAGTGTGTATTCATTTGGGAAGTTATTTGCCTTTTGGCATGACTTCAGTTTGAAATTACTTTTTTCAGATCAAATGTTTCTACTCTTTTGCAAATGAAATATGAATTCTGAAAACTGCTGTGTTCCATTGACTTCATTTACAAACCAGACAAAAGTGTCTCTATGTAGCAGGTGTTAATTTTTTATACATCCTTTGTCTTTTTTATTTCTGTGTATTTTTCACTTATACATGCCCTTTTTTCAAACAAATGGAAGTATATTTATGAATGTATTCCCTTGATTCTCATTATGATTGGTAATGTATATGGACTTTTGACCTTCTTTATTAGCCAAGATTTTTTATCTTTTTAAATGCTTTTTCTAAGTATTGTTTTTTTTCATACCTGTTGATTTGCAAATGCTTTTTATACAGCTTTTAGACAGAGGAAGAAGTAGTTACAGCTTGGGAATAGAAATCCCAAGAGGACAAGATGAAGGTTTTCTTTGAAGTAAATTGCAGATTTAGTGATTTGGGGTTTGTTTTGTTTTGTTTTATTCTGATATCTCCCTATTTTTTCTGAAGGATATGATGTTGATGAGCCTTTCTTGCATGGAACTGCAATTGGATCAGTGGCTACTGACAAAAGGGAAGAGCTCTACAGGTGAGCACTGGATGTTTCTTTCTTTAGACTCTAAAAACACTCAAGGTATATGAAGAAATGTTTCCAGGAATTCATTGGATTTTGGAGCTATTTTTATTTAATGAATATCTTCCAGATCTGTATTTTATTGCTCTATCAATTTGTTTGCCTTTAAGTACATCAGTACCTTTGAGATACCAGACTCTTTCCATGGGATGTTAGTAACTTGATGGTAAAATGTAATTAATTGATTTGCAGTTTCTCCACGGAATTGTCCAGCTGCCTCTGTGAATGGAAAGTTTGGTCCTGACTTCCCAGGCACTCATTTTTTGGGAGACCTGTTGCAGTTGTCATTTGCTTCTTCACAAAGAGATTTGTTTGAAGAAGGCTGGATGGAGTTTGTGACTCGGGTGTATTGGCTGAAAGCTCGCTTTCTAGCACTGCAGGTTTGGTTTACTTTGGATTGAACAAATAAAACTTCTCTCAAATTAAAATCAATGCTCTTCAGAAGCAGCTGATTTGTGAATCTCAGCTCTTTTCAAGCACATGGATAAAATCAACTCAAAACACAGTGATTTTATTTTGCTCTTATGTGTAATTAACTGTCCCTAAGGGTTGAGGTGGAAAAGTAGGAGATCTGACATGCTAAGCAAATATTCAGATATGTTTAATATATGAGTCTTTGTTTAAATTAGCTCGTGTTCAGCTTAAAAAAAAACTATTTGTGCCAAAGTTATTTGGAATCATATTGTGTAGCTGCAGAACATAGATTTTTGGGGACCTGGGCTTATGGATACCATCAAAGTCCCAGGCAGTCCAAAACACGGATTTTTAACTGAAGCAGACTGTTTTATTACTCTCCCCTCTGCTTTTTCAAGGTAGCACAATTCTTCTTTTGAAGATGTTGAATTTAATATGCAGATTTTGAAGCAGAGGGTTTTAAACACATCACTGAGGGAATAATTTGAAATGTTATTTGATCCCAGTCTTTTTTTCCCTTTAAGTGTTGCTTCCTCAGGACATCAAAGAGGGCTTTTTTATGCATTAATTATGTTTAAATCAATTGTCAGCTAGTTATGTGAGTCAGTTGCATAGCTGTGAACTAACTTGTTCCTTCCATTTCTTTTCTTCTTTTTTTTTTTTTTGCCTAAGGATTCCTCTCCAGTAAATTTACTCGAGGAAAAATGAGAGTTCCTGCACACCTACTGGCATTTTTTCTTGTGATATGCAGAGCTGTACTTTGCCTGTGCAGCTTGCATTCCTCTCCTCACCTCTCAACTTCAGCAACTACTTCAGTTGCACAGTGCGAGTAGAATGCAGTGGCTCTGCAGAATATAAGGATGTTTCTTGATTCAGTGGTTTTATTTGCACAAATGGAAGAGTTATTTCTGCTGTTTTGGTCTTCCATGTTTTTAAAGGAAGGGATTTTAGCCATCCAGACAAATCTTGCAAATTTATGCAAGCTGAATTCTGTTTTTCTGTTTTGTTTTACCTGTTTTTAAACTAATTGCTAAGATACGTTGCATTTTTAAGTATTTTTGCTTTCATTTGAGATTTGTCAGTGAGTTTGTTTTTTATTTGGGAGGACATGCACTAATCACACTGGCAGTGCCTGCATTGAATTTAAAACTTTTCTACATGCTTTGGAAACCTGAACTTTCAGTAGTCAGATAGGAGTTTGTGGCTGATTGCTTTCTTCTGTACTGTTTCTTTAGGGAGACATGGAACAGGCACTTGAAAACTATGATATCTGCACTGAAATGCTACAGAACTCCACTGCAGCACAAGCTAAAGCTGGCAATGAGTGTAGCATCGTCATACGGTTACCTAACCTACATGTTGATTCTGTTGTTTCTTTAGAAGAGGTAAGAATTAATTTGCAGGTGTGTGTTCCCCATTCCATCCCTCCCACTCCATCTCTCCCAGTTTCAAATGTCATTTATGAATTAGCTCTTTCATGATGGAGGATTACTATATCTCAGAGTCAAAGGAGAGGTTCACAGATTTGAAGATGATGTCAAGACCATCCTCTCCTTTTCAAGAGTTACAGCTTTCGGATCTTTTGGTCCTGTGTAACTTTAGATTGCATTTATGCAAAACAAAAATACTAAAGCAGCTGCATAGACTGCAGTAGACTGTTGAATCAGTGTTTTGTTTTCTGTTCTTAAACATTAATATCACCTTTGCTTAACTGAGCTTTCTACTTCAGGAGTTTGTTTTCCATGTAACAAGCTGGGTGCACTTTGAAGCAGAATCTCCTGTGATGAAGTCCCCCTGATGGATGTGTTCTTGCAGCATAGAAATGTTTGATTTTGGACTTTGAAGCAATAAAGTTTAAAGTCTTTATAGCACATTGCTGGGTCATGTTGAGCTTCTCATCCACCAACACCCCCAAGTCTTTCTCCCCAGGGCTGGTCTTGGTCTGTTTTCCACCCAGCCTGTATTTGTGCTTGGGATTACCCCGACCTTGCACTTGACCTTGTTGAACTTCATGAGGCTTGCACAGGTTCTCAAGCCTGTCCAGGTCTCTCTGGATGGCATCCTTTCCCTCCAGCATGTCCACCACATGGCACAGTTGATGGTGTTGGCTTAGAGTGCCTTCCATCCCACTGTCCATGTCGCCAGCAAAGACTTCAAACAGTTCTGATCCCAGTCCTGACCCCTGAGGAACACCACTCATCACTGCTTTCCATTTGGACATCGAGCCATTGACCACAGTTCTTGGAGTTGTGAATATCCAGCCAATTCCATAGCCACCAAGTCATCTATCCATCAAATCCAGGTCTCTCCAGTTTAGAGACAAGGATGTTGCCTGGGACAGTGTCAAATGCTTTGCACAAGTCCAGGTTGATGATGTCAGTCAGTCTTCCTTCATCCACCAGTGCTTTAACCCCATCATACAAGGCCCCCAGATTTGTTAGGATTGATTTACCCTTAGTGAAGCCATGTTGGTTGTCACAAATCACCTTCTCATTTTCCATGTGCCTTAGTATACTCATTATATAGTGCCTTACATTTTCCATGTGCCTTACTATACTCATGTGTATATTCATTAAAAATCTGTTGAATGGGTGAAGTATTACATGGTAGGTGTTTTCTTTCCTGGAGATAGCTCTGTAGCTAAACTGCTGGGAGAAGTGTCAGTAGTCAAATATGTGGAAAGTTGGATTATATTATCTGTGATGTTTTCAGATTGAAAAGAACCTAAAATCTCTGGAGAGATGCCAGTCTTTGGAAGAGATCCAGCGACTGTATGAGGCAGGAGATTACAATGCAGTGGTGCATCTGCTTCGTCCAACATTGTGCTTTAATGGTTATGGCAGAGCAAAGCATCTGGAGTTCGTAACATCCATACCAGAGAGACCAGCACAGCTGCTTCTCCTGCAGGTCTGGTTTGTTTCTTTAAAAATCTGTTTTAGTATGGGATTTTCCTAAAAACAGGATGAAAGGATTGCTAGAGTTGGGTGTTGATGGTTAACGAGTCTTATTTAGAAAGCAAAACATGGAACCAAATCTGTAAATGCTCTGAACACCACAGCTTTATCAACAACATTAGCAATGTGCCAGCTTGTGCTGACTGAGAATGTGACTAAAGATATAAGATGCTGAGGCCTACATGAAATGAACAGAAAAACTGTAAGTTCAAATAAACTTGAATAGTTTGCTGAGATATTTTATGGATGGGTTTGTTCTGTCTGCACCTGCTGTGAATACTTCCTGCTTTTGCTGCTGTTGACTTACAGCCATTCTGAAACTTAGTTATCTAGCATATGAGTGATTTTTATGATGTAATGTCTCTCCTGCATGAATGAGAAACTGTTGATAGATGCATCCAGTATAATTGCTGTAGAGTTAGTCCACTTGACACTATGAAAATCAGTGTATTATAAATGAGCTCAGCTATGGGAACAATTTGATCATATCAGGTTATCTGGTGGAAAAAAGAGTTTGCACAGAAGACTGATGCTCTTTTAACTGTACTGAACTAAATCCTGTGGCCTCCATGCCATCTCATGACCCTGCCTTTGGAGAGTAGAAAGAAGCAGGACAATGTTGTTATAACACTAGCCTCATAGTTGCTGGTTTGTTATTTATGAAGTAATAAAATGGTAGCACAAGATCGTAAAGATCCAAACCCTATTTCTGTAGGAACTTTATGCAGCTGCAGATCATTATAATTATAGACCTACAGCCATCCCTTTCCTGACTATTTTCTTTCCTTGCACCTCTTATTAAAGCAGAAAGATTTTGTGATGATTTTTTTAAAATTCAGATCCTACTTGTGTATTTGTCATCCTGGGTCCATTCAGGACCTTTTGTCTTTTTGTCCTATTGTCCTTTTTAATGTTATGTTTAAAGGTGTTCTGTTATATTTCATTAAAGTAACTGTATTAACTGTATATAGAGTTTTGCTTTTCCCTGCTGTGCATTCATGTTTAAAATAAACTCTTCATTGTTATAATAGATTTTTTTCGTATTTACATTCCCTAGGACTCCCTGCTCAAACTGAAAGATTACAAGCAGTGCTTTGAATGCTCAGATGTTGCCTTGAATGAAGCAATTCAGCAGATGATTAATATGACAGCAGCCTCTGCTAAAGAGGAGTGGGTTGCTACGGTAACACAGCTGCTCACAGGAATAGATACTTCATTATCATCAGTTAACAGCATCTTGAAAGACTCTTCTGTAACACCAAGCCTCGTTCGATTAACAAACAACCTGATTCAGGTAACCTGTTCACTGGCACTAGGGAAGAGGGATTGTGTGCTACAGACCTCCAGACATGGTACAGCTGCTGTCTGAATTCCCACCAACTGGCAGTGATGGTTCTGGTTACATTTTTATTGAGTATTTCCATATTATGTGAGCATTACCACAGGCTTCATTTCAATATGTTGGAGATGCACTGAGTGCGCCAGTGCCAGCAGGTACCTTCAGTCACCAAGCTGCCTAAAATAATCATAGAATGGTGGTAAGATAACCCAAGGAATAACACTGTTTTGTTAGACTCTGAAATGGTGATAGTACGATTGAACTGCCTGGGTGAAGCTTGTAAGTTATGGCACCAATATTGCCGTTTACAGAAGGTATTTTCAAACCTGAAAACTACTGAATGAACCTTTTTTCAGTCTAGGTAAGTAATGGCAAGCTCTCAGTTCTATTAAGAAGCTGGTCTAGTAAATGTCAAAATTCAATGTGCTTACAATTCTCAAATTTTCATGTACTTCAGTAAAAGCCAAAGATCTTCACTTCTCACAAAATCATACTCTCATTGTGTAAAGTTCTATGTGATATGGAATGTAATGGAATTCTGGAGAACAGAGTATTTGGGTACATAATTTATATATTATCTATTAAAGATGCCAGTTGGTCTTAAACAGTTGTTGCAAAACCTGGTAGAGAATTCTGGAATTTGTTTAAGTTCCTCTTCCATGTTGGGTTGTAGGTAAGTTTCTTGTACAATAATGAGGCCTACTAGCACTAAGAATTCATGCTTACTGTGCAGTGTTTGTATGTGATATTAACAGAGAAAGACCTACATGTAAAATGAGGATGCAAGAGGAACATCAGAATAGGGGAAATAAATCTTCTATCCTTCCCTTACCAGCTGATCTTATTTGTATCATTTTTGTAGCCACACTATGAGAAGCTGAGACTCAACTTCAGATTATTTCCTTAGGATAAAATGCATTGCCAGCTTTGGAAAGGATTTACACCTGACCTTTGTTTTGCATCATTTTGATTGTATAATGTATGTTTCTTTATTAGATCATAGACTGCAGCATGGCAGTCCAGGAGGAACCAAAAGAGCCATATGTCTCCTCAGTGCTTCCATGGATTATCCTGCACAGGATCATCCAGCATGAGGAAGATGCTTTTCGATCCCTTTGCTGCCAGCAGCAGCAGAACCAGGGAGAAGAAGGTGGGTTTTTCATCCACTGCTACATATTGGAGTTGAGCTCCTTATCATATAACTTTGGAATATAAATAATAAACACTTGATTGTCATCTTACCTTGCTGGCTAAAGGGAGTAGGGGGCTCTGCAAGCATCACTTTCTTACCCCAGAGAAAACTTCTTTTTGCCAGTTGAAGCATTGACTCGCATTTAACTCAGCTCTGTCCTACTTTAACCTTTACCAACTTCTTTCTTGCAGGGAGTCCTGATACCCCTATGTTGCCTTCTTCGCTTATGCTGCTGAACACAGCTCATGAGTATTTGGGAAGAAGATCCTGGTGTTGCAATTCAGATGGTGCTCTGCTAAAGTTCTATGTAAGTGTTGTCACCATAGAATAATTGAGATTGGAGGGGATTTCTGAAAGTCATCTGGCCAGCCCAACTCTCAAAGCAGGAAATAACTTAAAAGTTATATTAGATTGTTTTTTGCCTTGTCTTCATGTTAAAAATACACTTTTGAATCCACTTTCCTTCTTCTCCCAGACAAATGCATGAGAGTTTGTCATTTTAATCTGACTAGCAAAGGCTTGTTATTCCAGACCCTTTCTCGTTGATCTCCTTCTGTCATACTTCCCATTGTTCTCTGGACTTACCTCACTGAGAATAATAATCATTTTCTTCTGATTTTTCTCCTCTGTTGTACTTCTTGCACTATTTTGTTCATGGGATTTGAAAGGGAAGTAGGAATGACCAAGCAGTCTGATAGTACTGTACAAGATTCACAAGCTGACAAAAACTGTAGTATTATGTCTTTTAAATTGCTGCTAAAATAACACAGTAGGATTCCATATTCATCTTGTCTCAGTGATTCCAAATAAGTTGCTCACTTCACAGAACTGAATTTGTCAAGTGTTACATACAGTTTGCACATTTTCAGTGTACTTAAATACTGTTTATCATGTAAAAAGTGCATATTTAGCTGTCAGCCAGGAAAATTCAATTTTGAGTTTTGTAGTTAAACTTGGTTATCTGTTTCTTCCAAATCACAAGAGTAAAGATCTGCAGCCCATTGTCTGACTGCAGGAACGTGACTGGAATGGTGCTGATGGCTCACACATCCTCTCGTGTTACCCGCATTGGGTCCGAAGCTGTGATGCATTTAGTTGTTCTGCAGTTGATAAATTTGTCTTGTTTGATAATACCCACCTTGATTTTATACCACAGAGTGAAAAAAATAGTAATTCTGTTGTTTTTACATTGTTGACTAAATGTAACTTAAAATATACATAGAGTTCATCTATTGAACAAAAATTATGAGAATGAAGAATTACTTCAGCCCTTCACTTCCTTTTGTCTGAAGGCTGTTCTTTGCTCTGTTGTTCAGCTGGGTGTGTCAGAGTTAATATTCTCCAGAAATGGGTGTCTGGGCAGTAATACTGTATCCCATTATGAGATAAAGGGACCTACCCATTCATCGTTCACCTTTTTAAGATTATTCCTTGAGGTCTCATGATTACAACAGAAAAGAAATTTCCCATGGCTGAAGGAGAATATTTCTATGTGCATTGCTGTTCTCTCACTTTATCCTTAGCTTAGAAACCCAAGCACAGTCAGTGTTTCCCTGAGGGGAGCTCTGGCAGTCTGAGATAGCCTGGCTGCTGGCAAAGCCCAGGTAATGGGGTGCCGTGGCATTCCTTGGGCTGTGCTCTATGGGGACATTTCAGTGGCAGTTTACAGATTCAGCTTGACTTCATTGAGGTTTATTACCTTCAGCCAAGAGAAAATCGTGATTAGTTCTGCATAGAGCTACTCAGGAATCTTTTAATTTCCCTTCTCAGCACTCCCTGGAGCTTTTTAAGCACAGCTCAGTGCCAGACCCCATCTACCTCTGCATTTGAGCAGTGGCGTGTCTAGGACAGTAATTTAGGCAGCTGGGAAGGATGGCTGGGAGAGCCTGAGGGATTCTGCAGGAGTTGGCTCACCCTGGTAGGGCTGGAGTGAATGAACAGGGTTTGAATTGAGGCTGATTCAGGTAGAACTATTAGATGATCTCTGTGTCCTGATCTCTGCAGCTCCCTGGCATTAGGAACATAATGCTGATACACCTGAGCTGCCCCAGCAGGGCTTCAGAGGGTTTTATTAGCTCAGGCACTGTACTTCATGAAAATAGATAAACCTTTTCCACTCTTGAGCTTGCCCTTGGATGCCGTGCTCCTGAGTGACGGATATAAATTGTGTCTGTATAGTGTGCCTGTGTCCACAGCCAGGGGAGTCAGAGTGTGTTCTGTGAACCTGAGTGAAGTACAGGTAACTGAGAGCTAGGAATGTATTTACAGGCAGATCTTTGCAAATGTCATTGGGTACTTCAAACAAAATGTTCAATTTTCACTCATAGAATTGCCCACTTCTTAAACTATAATATAATATAGTAATATTAAACACAAGTTTTCAGAGACAAGAGGGTGTTGGAAGGATAAGGAAAGACAAAGATAAAATGGGATGAATTACTTGAGAAAGGCAGCTTGAAGAATGTTAAGTGTGTTTTACAGACTAGTATTAAATGATCACCTGTAGGTGAACTGTCTGCTCGAGGACATTCTATTGCTTGTGGATGAGAATGATGTGCAACAGAAGATGTTAATATGTAGTTAAGTCCTTTAGCAATAGTCTGAATTGTTGAGAACAATTCCGTGTTTCTGCCAAGAACTTAAAAGCTGAATAAGAACACAGGAGATTGTTTTGAACACTGTTCAAGTGAGAATTCTGTTACTGCTGTTAGATGTGGTTTTGTTTGTAGCAGGAGGGATATCATGCCTTTGTTACAGTATCCTCTGATCTCACATTTTCCATCAGCTTATTTAGCTGCACTTAAATTTCAAATGTTGTTCACAAATCCATACCGGGAAAGCGGTGGCAATAAGGGTGTCTGTTGTGACTCAGAGTTGGTGGCTGTGACTCAAAATGTCTTTGAAATACTTCCTAAGAATTTCTTTACCCTTATTTTTCAGGGGTTTGGCTCTTAAAACACGGTACCTTGACCTTAACACAGATCTTTTAATCAGAAGACAATCAGTATTTTATACTAATCCCAACACTTACAAAAAAAGCTTCTTACATGTAGAATATCAGGCTTTTGCCCTGTGATGGTGTGCAGTGTTTGTATTGTCAGGAAAGCCCATCACAATGAGAAACTCCTTGTAGCATGTACCATGCATAATTAATTGAGTTTGCAGTCCTAGATGCTGAAAAATGATAAATGGTGATAAATAAACAGATTAAGTACTGTGAAAGTAACAGGATGAATTTTTTTATGAATTGCAGATAACTGAATGTTTTGCATTTTCAATCTATGACTGCAAAATTTCAGCTGGGGAAGCTCCTAAAATGACCAGTGTGTTGAGGAATGAATGTGGCTGGTTTGGACAAGTCAGATCTTGGTAAAAGAAATAAATGAAAGTTGATGCTTTTTATCAAAGGAAAAATATTAAAGGAAATTACTTATCAGTTAATAGGACTCTACAACTGGTGGTATACAGCTTCCCAAAACTTTAGAGGCAAATCATAATGGAGTACTTCATGGTTTTCTGTACCTTTTATTCTCCCAGATGACAAGCATTTTTCTTCTACCACCTCAAATGAGTTTTCTTTAGGCATAACTGGTACACTCTGGTTCTGGGAAACACACTCTGGTAGATGTGTGAGATGTTAATATTGTAATTTCTACTTACATGCTTCTTTTTTAATTGAAATTTCATAGTGGAATACATTGGGATTGAATCTTAAACCTCAGTGGTTAAGTGTGGGTTTTGTTTTCGTTTTGAAATAAAGATCCAAAATCCCACTACGCAGATTATTCTTGGTGAGCTGTTTTTATTGACTTTGAACCTTTTTGATTTGCTTTTTAAAGAAGCTTAGTGAAGGTTTTCGAAGAATTACCTTTTGTTTTTTGGCATTCAGTTGCAGGGGTTTTAATGAATGTCTTAAGAGTATCAGCATCTTCCAAAATATGCTACTGATGGGTACTTTTTCTTGCAATGTCGAAGGTAAAGATAGCAACTTGCTACAGTGTTCAGTCATTTAGGATCAATCCAGCTGCTTTCCTTGGTGGGCAGCCATCTGTGTAATACTATTCATGCTGTGCAGTTCTATAGTCCTTTTAGCCAGATTTTCATTAACTTTCCCTTCTTTTTCTGCAAAGTCCTTTCCATCCCACTTTTTCCATGCAGAGAAAATTGGTGTTTGTGAATTAGGGCAGAAATTCTTCTCTGCCTTTCCTTTATTCACAGTGTTGAGGAACTGCAGTGTTTATGTTCACAGAAGCAACTTGGTGTGTAGGGGGAAACTTTGAATGATCTTAAGTCTGAAACATGAAGCTGATGTCTGATCTCATTGATTAAAGATATGACTTCGTGAAATAACATAGGAACAAAAATAAAGGCACTTTAGCACAGCTGCAGTGCCATTGAAATGACTTGTTTGAGAACTAGTTTACAGAAATATGGGTGTAATACTTGGCTGTCATTGGGGAAAAATACATATGGTTCCTTAATGTTGTTTTCATCATCTGCCTTCAGACAGCTGGGTCACTTCCTGTGATCTTCAGCTTGCACGTGACCTTTTTGTTGGTCTTTGGCTTGTAGGTTCAGGTACTACAAAAAGAACTTGCAGCATCCACTTCTGAAGATACTCATCCATACAAAGAAGAGCTGGAAACAGCCCTGGAGCAGTGTTTTTATTGTTTATATGGGTTCCCAAGCAAAAAAAGCAAAGCAAGGTACCTGGAAGAACATTCAGTGCAGCAGGTAAAGTTATGTGTTATTTAAAGTCAGAAGAATATCCTGAAGTGATGAAAGATACACACTTGCTTGGTTTTAATGCACCTTAATATATTTTGGAGAAAGATTACTTTTATTTCCTTGTAAAATGTATGTATTTTACACATTGTAGAAAATAAACTAAAGGCTTCCATATTTTTAAAAATTGTAAATATAACAAGTCAGATATTTTAAATTAAGTGCTTGTGTAGTCCTATTGACAGTAGTCTGCCATCTTGGAAATATTGAGAAATTGATTTTTTTTAAGCTATCACTTTCCTGTTTCCAGCTGAGAAGAAGTTCGAGGTTGAGGAAAATTAGAGAGGAAAGGTCAGCTTGAGAGAAGAAAACTTTAGCAGCCACCCTTGCAGTTTATGAAAGTGAAAAATGTCACTTAAAAATTTGACACTTACTTTGACATCACTGATGGTAAATATCTGGTAGCTGTTCATGAGAAATGTGAAATTCAGTTGAATCTGGGAGAAGAGCAACTACAGAGTGCCTTGGGAAGAGAACTGTAGTAATAAGGAAGGCAGAGAAAAAACAGGTCAGCAATACAATATCCTACCTTGAAACATCACTACTTTTGTTCAGAACCTCAGATGATTTTTGCATTTACAAATGGGAGTGATCTTAGAATTATCAGTCAAAAGCGTTTTCATGCAGGCAAAACAATTGTCTGACTCTGTTGAAAAGACCTTTATAAATACACAAATGCTGTTACATTATTGCTTGTTAAATACTTGGGAATTGTGTATCTTAAACTTACATGATAGAAAGCAAAGATTATGACAGAAAGGGTATAACTAAGAAAAAGGAAAGGATAAGGAGATTATTCTCTGCAATTTCCCTGTTTTCAATACAGAGCAAAATTTACTGTGAGGGGTTAGGTGAACAATAAAAGGAGAAAAAGTTAGTCTAGGGAAGAGAACTGTAAATTTTGGGTGGGATTTTTTTACTGCTTTCAAGACAGAAAGGTGAAGAGAAAATGAGGAATAAATTCTGGAAGTAACTTTCTGTAGAGAGTTTGAAGATTTTGAGTCTCAGAATTTTTATTCTTCTTATTTGACTCTGAAGGTGTAGAATTCCCTGTATACTACCCATGATCTCAGTGTCACTCTGGATGTTTAGAATTGATTCTTGCTTATAAACAACTTTTCTGAGCAGCTCTTCTAAGCAAGTAGAATAACTTTATTTTTCAGTGGCATATACTAAGTTACAGCCCAATACCTTAGCCTGTTAAATCAGTGAGCAGTGTGCTGATTTGTGACCTTTAGCTCTGTTCTTGGGAGGTTTAATTTGGTTCCTTCTAGAGTGAAATGTGTGTTCTTACAAACTAGAAAGGCCACAGAAATTCATTAGTAGACTTGAATTTTGGAATTTGAAATAATTTTTTTGCCCTCTCATCCACCCTCCTCTTCAGGTTGATCTGACATGGGAAGATGCTTTGTTCATGTTTGAATATTTTAAGCCTAAAACTCTTCCAGAATTTGACAGTTACAAAACCAGTACCGTGTCTGCTGATTTGGCCAACCTTTTGAAGAAAACTGCTACAATTGTTCCTCGAACAGACAAGCCTATGCTAAGCCTAGAGACTGTATCTGCTTATATTGAAGGAACATGCAGCAAGGTATATTGAATTGTTTTTTAAAAAATTAAAAGGAGTAAAAAGTATTGTTGCTGTTTTTATGTTGACTTTGAGATTATTAGTGGAATGATTTATTCCATGATGTTGGATTTCCTCAGGTAATTATATTTAAATAAAATAAGAATGACACCACCAAAGCTTTTAGTCTTTGAATGGCAAGATGTAGTGTTGTTTGATATGCAGTCAGTATGAGGTGTTCATTAGTGTTTGTAAGTGCTCTGTATATCTGTGAAATGCTTTCACTGTCTTCCTATTCAATACCTTCATATTCTGTGATGAAAAGGCTACTTTAAGGAAGAAGCAAGTGTGCAGCTCATTTAATATGAAGCTTTTATTTAAAATGAACCTTTGTTTTTTGTTTTTTTTATTTTCAGGCACCATCTCTCCCAGAGGGTGCAGACTATTCTCCACCAGTGGTGACCGAGTTGTATTATCTTCTGGCAGACTATCATTTCAAGAATAAAGAACAGTCTAAGGCCATCAAATTTTACATGCACGACATTTGTATTTGTCCAAACAGGTCAGTATTGTTGAATCCTCCTGCACATCATTCATCCTTCTCACTTCTTTCAGTACTGAAAAGCAGACAACTGCTTTCAGGAGTGAAAAAAACCCCAAACAAACAAGCAAAACTCCCACCTGCAATCCATTATCACAGGTAGATTATATAATTAAGGATATCTCTAAAACATCCCAACAAACAAAACAAACCCCAAAACCTAGTGTTAAATATTTGATTGTTTGGAAATTAAAAGCAAAAAAAAAGGGGGGGTGAGCTAAATTAAAATAAATAATAACTGTGAAGAATGAACTGTTTGCACCTTTTGTTCTTTGCTTTGGCATGTTTATACATGGCAAGGAATGAGAAATGTCACAGTTTAATAGTGTAGCTGTGGCACAAATAACATTCTTTGCTGGATTAACTGTCTAGGCTGACCTCTTTCTGAAAGTTGATTTTGCTGCTAGAGAACTACTAAGAGAATACAAATCGAGTAAAGTATTTAAGTGATGTTTAAACAAAACCACCTTGTTTCTTGATAATTTACAACTCACTGAAATACCACCAAGATTAAGCTCTCTCATCTTAAAAATAAAGCCTGTTTTGAGCAACAAATCTAAAATTAAATTAAATAATCTTTAAATTTACTGATTAAATATAGAGTTTGCACATTAGGTGTTGTCATTTTAAATCTCATTGAAGTTGATAGATCAGGGTCAGTGACAAACCCCCTGATTTGATAGATTTGAGACAAGAAAATTGCTTCTAAATCCAGTCACACAACAGAGACAAAAGGGAAGGTGAAGGCACAGAACAATTTTAGATATGAAGTCTATGGAGGAAATAGCTGTAGTTTAATGTTATTGCATCTTCTAGTCTGGGACTTGTGACTAGCAAATGGCTAAAACTTTTGTTTGAAGCCTGATAAAGAAATTACCAATAGCAGGTTCTCTCCATTTTTCTGTAGTTTTGATATTTTAAAACCTAAATTCATAAATAAATGAGTGGAATGCATTTTTACTTTAATGTGTGACAGTTTGGTGCTCAGAAGGTACTATATGTGGTACCATAGTATTTTTACCCCAGTCAAATGAGATGTTAGTTTTTTGAATGTCTGTACTACAACTCCCCTTCCATTCCCCTCAGGAGTCTGACTGCTGAGGTCACTTGACTCAGAAATGGGTTTTCAGGTGGAATCAGGAGAAACTACAAGCAAAAGTACGAGAGCATTGTGGTTATTCCTTTGGTGTTAGAATCATGACAAAATTAAAAACTCCGGAGCAGTTGACCCCAGATGTTAATGTGAGATTATGGCATATGGAAACTCCCCTTCAGTCTGTGCTGTCAGTGACAGAATAAAGACAGGGCTGGACCCTGAACAGTCCTGCAGTCAGAAATTAGAGTTCATCAGAATTTTCCTACATCAATGCATTTTTGGTTTTTTTATGTTGGAAAATGATTACGATAAAGACTTCACAACTCAGTCTAATGATTCAAGATGTCATAATGGCCACGTGCTACAGAAATAAAGGATGACAGTGTTTGGACAGGACAGTGTGGTTACTGTCAAAAAAATCAGTGAGAGTGCTGCCATCAGAAATATAGATATACTGGCTTTGCATGGCAAATAAACCTTGATTTTTCATCCATTTTCCATATGTGACAATTACTGTGACAGTGCTTTATTAGGAAACCCTTTTTAATGAACTCAGCATGATTTAGGCTATACAGCTTCTGTTCCACTCTGAGGGGAGGAGGAGACCCAGAAATCTGTTTTGAGGGAGCGTGTGATGAAAGGAAGAGAAAGCTGCAGATAAAAGATGAATCTTGTCTGTGCCTTCAGTGTAATGTTTAGGAGTTTGTTCATGTGTTCACGTTTGTTCATGTCTCTTTCTTGCATAGGTTTGACTCCTGGGCTGGGATGGCTCTGGCTCGAGCCAGTCGTATTCAGGACAAATTGAACTCTAATGAATTGAAAAGTGATGGCCCGATCTGGAAACACTCCACCCCTGTCCTGAATTGCTTCAAACGAGCCCTGGAGATTGACAGCTCCAACCTGTCCCTGTGGATCGAATATGGCACCATCTCCTATGCCTTGCACTCCTTTGCATCCCGACAGCTTAAGCAGTGGAAGTCGGAACTTCCTCCTGAAGTTGTGCAGCAGGTGGGATCTAACTGAGAGAAATGTGAAATTTTAAATATTTTAAATTATATTTTCTAACATAATGAGTTTTTAAATTAAGTGTTTACATGCTATATTCCACATTTGAGACGCTGTGGTTACTTAGTAATATTGGATATTCTAATATTCATATAACCTGATGGTGTCAAGAAGCATTTAAAGATGGGGCTTTTTTTCTTTCTTTTTCGTTTGTAAAATCAGTTTGAGCCTGATCTTTGAATTATCTTTTGAAGGTGGCACAAAATTATTGTAACCTTCTGGAAAGGGGAATTATATTTACCTTACCTTTCTGTAAATGTCATACAGTGTTTCCATAGAAAGGTGACATATATACATATTTAAATAGTGAAAAGATCAGGAATTACTCTGATATCTGTGTCCACATGTCATCTCTTGTATCTAAAGACATCTTCTCTTTTTTCTGTGTTTTTGGGCCATTTACTTAAAGATCAGAATGAGAAGATTGGTAGAATTTTCATTGAAAATGTTATGAATTCATTTGCTCTTTCTGCACGAGGATGATGAAAACGTTAAGAGTTATTAAGAAGTTTATTGCTAAACCAAAACAATTCTAAATACACACTGACAGTGATAAGAGTTGCCTGGGAAAATGTTTTGTCTGTCGTTTTGGATCAGTGAACTCTATTTCTGATTGAGCTATTCTGACTTCCAAATATTTTGTAGTCCACAACTGGAAGCATTATCAGATAAAAGGAACAATACAGAGCAGCCATCTGAAGCTGAGAATTAAATGAGAATGTTTGTTTAGGACTACTTAAGTCTTCATTTTTTTTCCAAGCAAATATGTTAAAAATATATAATTTACTAAGAAAAACTCTATTATAATAAAATACAAATTTGAAAAATATCATCTCATTTCCAGAGATATATCTCTTCAGGAATGTCTTTCTCATGCATAAAAACCTTATTTTTCTCCTTACAAAATATTTAGGAAATGAAAGGTTATGTTACTGTTCTTGGTTATAACCACATAACTTAAATGTATAAACTACTTTTTCAAAGAGAGAAAATTACATTAATGCATCTTTTGACCTAGTTTTTTACATTACTTTATTGGCATTTAATTTATGCTGGTTGGTTTTTTGTTGTTGGGTTTTTTTTTATAGGGTGGGGTGGGGAGAATATTCTTACCTTATTCAGCTCCAAATCAGATACATTGCAAGAAAGATGAAATACATTTCTTCACAAATGAGAGTGGTCCACAGTGGCTCTAAGAGACTTCAGTTGCAGAACAAAGCAAATAATTTTTTTTCTTTGAAGAATTAAGATAATTACAGCTGTGAAAAAGTGGTAGAATTTGTTATTTTTCAGATTTATACGCTCACTGTTTTGTTCTGGTTGGTTGTGTCAGCAGTTGCTTGAACGAACAAAAACCTATCCCTAAGCACCTTTTGCGGGTTGCTGGGGTGCGTTTGATCACTTGGCTATATTCTGTATCTTTTAGGTTAAAAGTGTTAAATGATGTACCTTGTTAATGCACTTCTATATGTGCACAGTAGTGTATTTTTGGCACTTTTCCTCTGGGCCGCAGTGAGTTCACGTGTTCCCCCCGCTTGGTTCGATGGCAGATGGAGGAGCGCCGGGACAGCATGTTGGAGACAGCCAAGGTGTGCTTCACCTCAGCGTCTCGCTGCGAGGGGGACGGCGATGAGGAGGAGTGGCTTATCCACTACATGCTGGGGAAGATTGCAGAGAAGCAGAAACAGCCTCCCGTCGTCTACCTGCTTCATTACAAACAGGCAGGGCACTACTTGCATGAGGAGGCTGCTCGATATCCCAAAAAGATTCACTACCATAATCCACCAGAACTTGCCATGGAAGCATTGGAGGTAAAAGAAAGTCAAATACATAAGCTTGAAACCTTTTCTACAGATCGTGGAACACCAGTGGTTATTAGTTCTGATTGTCAGGCACGTGTACATGGTGCTCTGCATCTGGGAACATTTACAAGACAGACTTGGAGAGTAACATGGAGCCTGTTATTCAGGCTGATTTTGTTTTAAAGGCAGTTTGGACAGGTGGGTAGCAATTCCACTTCTGAGTTTTGCTGCACACAGTTCATTACTCAGTTTTTATAAAAATCAAACATGAATAGGATTCACAAGCATCTTGTACCTATGGAAGTGTAAGTTCATGTATTAATTGGAACCTTTGCTTTCACTGTGTTGTCTGGTGAAAACAATGGATCTAGAACATACTCAGTGGTGACTTCCTTGCAAGGAGACCAGCTCTGCTTTATTTGTTGTATTCCATAGATGGCAGCTGTAAAATTTGTACAGTGTTCAGATCTTCTAACTTAGAAGCAACTTTCAAAGGCAGGAAAAGTCCTGTTTAGGTAAGTTTAGGTAACAGTTAACTGTCTTTACTAACTCCTGCAGTTTCTACAGAGAAAAGACTATTTGTAAGAGATTGCAGAGCTACAAATTCTTTACTGACCAGATGGATTTCGGTGTTTTTTAGGTATACTTTCGACTTCATGCTTCTATTTTGAAACTTGTGGGGAAACCAGACTCTGGAGTAGATGCAGAGATCTTAGTTAGTTTCATGAAAGAAGCTTCTGAGGGACCATTTGCCAGAGGCGAGGAGAAGAACACCCCAAAAGTTACAGAAAAGTGAGTGCTAGTTTCCAGGAGTATCCTCTGAATGTATACTTATAAACTACTGTACAATAAACTATTAAAATGAAGCTGAATAAAATATAAACAAAGTGATTAGAATTCATCCCAGTGATTGCAGTTTTCGGGTATCATGAGTAAGTTTATATGCCACACTGAGATCTTCTCAGTAATTGGCAGAGAGGAGATGGGAAGAAAACAGACTAATTTTGATCTTTTGATCCATTTTAAAGCCTTTGTTTTTATTTATTAATAGATTTGATTTTTTAAATCAACTATTAACAAATCCAAAAGCAACTGACCTTTATTTATAGGACAAGAGAGTTCAGTCCACAACATTTGTCTCATTAACAACCACAAAATAAAGAATGGTTTGCTATTGACAAATAGCACAGGGGAAGTGTTATAGTACAAGGGAAGAATATAACTTGTACTAAACCCTGAGATTAGCTCAGTGACCCTGAGATCAGCTCAGCTGGTCAGAGCATGGTGCTAATAACACCAAGGTTGTGAGTTTGATTCCCATGTGGCTCATTCACTTTAGAGGTGGATTCAGTGATCCTTGTGGATCCCTTCCAACTCAGAATAACCTGTGATTAAAAATTCCATCATTTAGAATTTGTTACTAAGATTTAATTACTGCACTGGAAATGCCATAAGAACACGTAGTCTCATTTTGTTGTCCCTATATGTCCCTAGTATATAAACACTTCCTATTTTTTGTTGTCCTCCCAGAGAAAAAGCTTGCATGATTGATGAAGACTCTCACTCCTCAGCCGGAACGGTGCCAGGCCCTGGGACTTCCCTCCCCTCCTCCTCCGGTCCAGGTCTGACATCCCCACCTTACACAGCCACTCCAGTTGACCACGATTACGTCAAATGTAAAAAACCCCGCCAGCAGGCAACGCCGGACGGTACAGTCCCTGTTCTCAATACTGGCAGCACAGGAGGTGCTCTGATCACGGGGGGTTTGACCAGGAATGATCAAACTGCTCGTTTCGAGGAGGGTGATGGGTCTGTGGTAACACGGGCAATATTGAAGCTCATTATCTTTATGAATTTGGTTCTTTAAATAGAATCGATGTACAGTCAGAGCTTTAAATACAAAACTGAAAGTTGTCACCTGCCACCATGACATCTGTCACTTAGTCAAAACAGCAATGTTTGTAGGAGGAGTATGAGCTGACTGATTTTTCAGTGATTTTTTTTTTTTCTCCAGAGCTCATTAGGAAAGTGTGGGTTCAGTCTTTAGAAGACTGGACACTGTTTCAGCCTGTGTGAAATGACCAGGTGAAAATTCGAACTATGGTTGAAACAAGACAAACTGGTAAAAAGACAACACAAAACAGTATTATCATTTTTTGAAGGAGGCAGGTGGCAACTATTTTGAATATATTGTGATTGAGCACGAAGTGATTTGCATGACAGTCCAGTAGATTTCATCTTTTAATTTTTCTTTATCATTTACAATGACTGGTCAGCAGCTCATCTTTATAGAATATAAAGTGATATAATATATAATTGGCTTAAAAATGCAGAAGGTGGGGTGGTATCATAGTTTTATTGAAGATTTTGCAATTACATATATTAGTAGAAATTAAGTTACAGTTTAAGTAACCTGATACTATTATTTGGCTAGGAATTTTATTCTGATTCTACTTTTCTGGCCATTTGTTTATCCATCTGGATCTGTGAGTATCAGCACTCAAGGAGTAAAATATACACTCCAGTGTATATCTTAGCATTGGTACAATGTGCCAGGCCCCACAGAAATGCTCTGCTCGATACAAATTTATTTCTGTAGGGTGGGCTGCTTCCTACTGTCATTTTCTGAAGAATGATAATTTGTAAATAACTTTCTTGACACAGTTTTGAAACAAATGTTTACATGCCTGAAATTTTTGCAGGGTGACTTTATTCCTTTTCCCCAACAAATAATTCTTGGTGAAACTGGCAGAAGCTCCTTCATCTCTTTCACTAAATTGACCAGAAAAATGTTCATTTTATTATTGTTTGCATTTCAGTTGGGAGTTATTCATTAGACTGTTTTTAGATCATATGTGGTGGGGAGGTGTCAGTGGGTTGTGCAGTGATTAGGCTCTTCTGTTAGCTTTTTAATGCCTTTTGACACAAAAAATGTAGAAGGGAGGAAATAGTTAAATATTTCCTAAGCCATAATCCCTGTGAGAAGCAGTTCTGCCTAAGACTGCATCTGCTTAGGTCCTGAAGACTGTCTAAACGTTCCCAGGAGAGGTTAAAGTTAGATAAATACTCCAGTGGGTGTCATTAGTACCTTCACTCCAAGTAAGACGTTATGGGCTGTGGCAGCTGAGTGCCCGTGGGAGCGAAGGTGGTGCTTAGCAAAGCCTGGAGGTGCAAGCACAGGAACCTCTGCCAGGGCTCAAGGAGCAGTGCTTGGCTCTGCCAGCTGAGCCTGGCTGGGCCTGAGCTTTGTGCTGTCAAAGCAATTCAAAACCTCAGCTGCTGGAGGAAGCAGAGTTAGGGGGATCTTCAGGAGGGCAGTGTGTAACCATGACAGAATTGCAGAGTACTGCATCATTCCCCGTGTTTTGTGAGGTGCTGGCACAACTGAGCTCTGGATACAGCATATTGAGGAGCCCCAGGAAACTGAAATATTTGCCTTGGGGCTGTTACAGATGGAAGGAGAGCTAA